TTTTTTGCTCATTGCATATATTTAATATATTTAATGTAAGTGTAGTAATGATATACAGGCTGTTACGCAAACTAAGATTAAAATGTTATACAGGGTGTTCGGCCACTCTAAAAATTTTAATGGGAGATTCTAGAGGCCAAAATAAGACGAAAATCGTTAAAAAGTTAAAAAGTTCTTCGTTAAAAAGTTATCAAAAAATTAAATTAAACAAGTTCAAATCATTCTAAAAAAATTATTATTAGTTGCAAGGGTCAATTACAATTATTTTTGGTCAATAGACACACTTCTTAAATCCTACGCTCTTTCGAGAAAAAAATTCCGGAAGGTGGACAAATTTTTCAACGAAATTGAAAAATTTCAATCGTTCTAAAAAAATTATTTTTAGTTGCAGGAGTTAATTACAAGCATTTTTCGTGAATAGTCATTCCTCGAAATTCTACGCACTTTCGAGAAAAAAATTCCTAAACGAAAATATACTGTGTAGCCAGAAATGCTTCCTCGAAATTTCATGCAAATGTTTAAAATATCATAACTTCTGAACGGATTGGAGGATTTTAATGTTTCAAAATGCAATCGACGCGTATTCTGGCGAAGAATAGGTAGAAATTCCAAAATTATTCGAAAAGTTGTTTCTTAAACCCATAAAATACAAAAAAACCCCTAAAAAATGGCCCAATATTCAAACGTCCATAACTTCTACAATAGTGAATGTATCTCAATGAAATGTAGTGTGGAAGTATAGCTCATGGATACCTACAAAAAAGTACTAAACAACATTTCTATAGGGGGGCAAACAAAATTATTAAAAATCAAAAACGAATTCTTAAGAAAAATAGGAGTGCCCAAATTTTTCGGCGACAAAAAAAATATTGAATCGTTCTGGAAAAATTATTTTTGTATGCGGGGGTCAATTACAATCATTTTTGGTGAATAGACATACCACCGAAATCCTACGCACTTTCGAGAAAAAAATTCGAGTAGGTGCTGAAATTTTTCAATGAAATTAAAAAATTTCGAATCGTTCTGCAAAAATTATTTTCGGTTGCAGGGGTTAAGTACAATCATTTTTGGTGAATAGACATACCCCAGAAATCCTACGTACTTTCGAGGAAAAAATTCTTCACCGAAAATATACTGCCTGGCGGGAAATGTTTCAATAACTTTTTAATGAAGCCTCAATTAACAAATTAGTATCCTTCATTTTCGTCTTATTTTGGCCTCTAGATTCTCCCATTAAAATTTTTTCCAGTGGTGGCCGAACACCCTGTATAACAAAAAATCCATAAATGATTTGTTAAGAAGTTGTATGAAAAATATGAACTAAAATAAGAAAAAAAATTTATAATAAAATTACATTTATCTTTTGCAAGCATTCGATATCGTGAGTGTCTTTCCAATTTACTGAACGTAAACATGAACAATAGTTCACAATTTTATGACAACAAAATTTATCATCGAAGAAAGAGTACTTCAGCACCTAAGATAAATGATAGAAATTAAACGCGGATAAAGAAATGTTTAAGTTATCCATATAATTCTACGTTCGAAATATTTTTTCGTGCCTCAACTAGCAGTTGCAATCTTTAAACAAAATTTGAGTGACTTTGTTTGTTTAGTAAATAAAGAAACATTACATTTCATATTTTTGTCATAACTTCTTAACAAAGCATTTATGAATTTTTAATATAATTATTAGACTACGGAAAAATGCGGAACACCCTGTATAAAAGTATAAGTTTTACTATTCCATATAATGTAAAATTAGTCACATTCCATATTTATAATACGTATTTCTTATTTTTCTTCACGTTTTCCCTAACCACAAACCGTTCTAATCTTGTTTAGGTCATGTTAACTAAAACATTTTCAGCAATGTAATATATTGTTTGAAAAGTGAAAAAATCTTATATTTATGCAATGCCTGTTATCTCGGAGACCTATCGTTCGAAGCGTAACTGGTTACGTAGTTGCGCGTAACACGTCCTTGTATACATTTCCATCGGGAGCATGATAGATTATTAGAGCAATTTTATTACCCCAGAGAGCGTAAAGAAAGAGAAACCTAAAGCAATTCGGTTACTTCGTTACCAGCGTCCCGTGGCTCGCGTCTGAGAAAAATCTGACCAGGCATGCACAGGTAAACGTTTTAATTGAGACACCTGTCCGATCCTCGCGTCGCTTAATTATGAAATAAATAGCGAAATCGTGCAAAAAGGATTTCGGAAATAACGAATTCGAGCGGCGGACTACGTGCCGCTCCGCTTCGGGGGGAAAGTAGAATTCGTAAAGTTGTTACGAACACGCGTGCGTGCAAATCGATCGTCCATCTTTTTCGAGGAAGAATATACGCGTAAACGAGCAAACAATTAATTTTTCATCAGCCTGAAACAATGGATCGTGAATAAATTACGCGTCTCGAAACTTGTGCATTCAGTCAAGAAACTCTTTATCAAATTTCGTTTTAAAAAGATAATTAAAAAAATAGAAACATCTTTCCATTTATATCAATTTCCTATATAAACGTGGGCGTTTTCGTGTTATTCGAGTTTTTCGTCGATCGGGGGGGGAAAAAGATGTAAAAATCGATTGCGCAACGAGAAACGAAGTTGTTCGAGATTTCACGATTCGTCGAACAAAAGAATTTCGCCGAGTGACGAAATCCGAAATTCCTGCGGAAATTCGAGCGTAGATCAAAGAGAGCGATTTCGTATTCGTTTAAGTTAATTGGTTCGTGGAATTCGCCCGTTGCGAAAATATTTTCGGAAACCGTGGAAACTTTCGCGGTGAGAGGCCCGGCCCGGCCCGCGACCAGGTCGATTAAAAAATAAATAACGAGGCGCGATATCGGGAGAGGGGGTACAGGAAACACGAGAGACCCAGGGGAAAGCAGTCTTTGTGCACGCGTGCGTCCGTGTACGTACAATGTACTGGCTAATGAGCGTAATGATTCCGTGGAATGTGCGTCTAATGTTGCTATCTGCGCTTCGACGCGTGCACGTTAAGGTTCTTCGCGCGAATCGAGCATGCGGTAACAGCGACAGCCGAGAACAGCTGTCAAACATTCTCCGTTTACTCGTTTTCTACTCCTTACAGCGTAATTATGAGGTTTCAGTCAACCCTGATTCCACCAAGATTCGATTTTCAATCGTTTATTAACTTTCATCGACCCTAAAGACTTGCGAATAAAATAATATTAATTAGTCGACTGCGGATGTTTATGCAAATGCATATGTATATTCCTAGGAAATAGATAAAAGAGTGAAATTTAAATAGAAGTTTGTTTCATCACTGAAGGTTCTTAAAAATACATTTTTTATTTTGCATATCTTGCATATAGCATATGTTTTACATATATTTTATAAAAACATATGTCATAGACAGGGTGTTCGGCTACTCCTAGGAAAAATTTTAATGAGAGATTCTAGAGACCAAAATAAGACGAAAATCAAGAATACCTGCTTACAGTTGCGTGCGCACGATAGTGGTTCTCACTCAGCATGAGGAACTCTACATAGTGACGTATCGACAGCCTTAAAGTTTTCTGAGTGAGAATCACTAACAGCTGTTCGCAGATTGCCGTTCTACAAGCGGAACTTTAAACGTTAATAACTTTTTAACAAAGCCTCAATCAACAAATTGGTATTCTTGATTTTCGTCTTACTTTGGTCTCTAGAATCTCCCATTAAAATTTTTTCCAGGGGTGGCCGAACACTCTGTATATTTATTGCATTTCTTTTCATAAAATTAGTGCTTACGTGGGCTTCCGAATATTTATTTCAGTTTACTAATTCAACGTTTGTGTACGATAGCCATGGCAGAAATGTCAACATAGCTATTTATCAATGGTCAACAATAATCAATGGTAACAGTTCATGGATGCTACGAGTAGTATTAATCAGTTATTCTGAAGTATTCTTGGCAGATAGGTTCTACGGAAACGAAATACGCAAAATGCCTAAAGCGCAAAACAGTAAATGTATAAATGTACAGAATTGGATCTTTTCAATAGTGGAAAAATGTTTTGTGAGTGATGGAGAAATTGTCAAGTGTCAAATATGTGACAAAGAAATTCGCTGTGATAAAAAAATCACAGTACATTTAAATACTAATGGGCACAGAAGCAAAGATCAATAAAATAATAATATAGACGAATTTTTACAACCAAAAGATGGGAAAACAAATAGTAGTAATAAAAAAAATAATTGTTATATGGACATGTGTAAAGCGATGGTGGCGATTAATTTACCTTGGCGAAGTTTTCTAGCAAAATATGTGAAACAGACGATTCCTGATAAATGGACGCTATGCAAAAATTACCTTGATGATTGTTATAATTTGCAATACGTAGTATTAGGGAAGATAATGCGGAAAATAATGTGTGGATTTCTGTGGATGAAACAACGGACAATATGGGACGAAACATAGCCAATTTAATTATTGGTAAAATGTCTGAGGATGAGATGTTAGTGCCACATTTACTTTCCTGTAGCAATTAACAAAAACAAATTATTCTACTATTGCTCGATTTATAAATTTAGCAATACGATTGTTGCGGAAAAAGAGTATTGTTATTGGTGACAGATGCAGCTGTGTATATGATAAAAGCTGGAAAACATTTAAAGGTGTTTTCGCGTGATCCATGGTTTACATAGAGTTGCAGAAGTACGTCAGTACTTTCCACTTGTAAATAATTTAGTATCTTCTATTAAAAAAGTATTTGTAAGAGCACCACTTCGCGTCGAAAGTTATCTAATAATTTTAGACGTGGATTCAGGAAGCAATATTTTATGCTATGCATATGGAAGATATTAAAAATGTAGTTGAATCTTTCGATGCAAATGATGCATTGGCAATTAGAAAAGCACAAGATGCACAAAATGAATCGCTAGTTCAGAATTTAATATTTATCAAAATAGATTTTCTTCTTCTTCTTCTTCTTCTTTGTGTTTGTTACGCCGCGTCGACTGCGAGGTCATTGGCGGCGGATGCGTGCTTGCGCGCTATATTTGATTATACATATTTGTTTCTTTGAGAAATTTTAGAGTGTCACTTATGTGGGCCTGAGCTATAAGGGCTGTGTCCGGTTTTATCCCATATTTCTGTCTTTGGGGTTCGGTTCTTCTGCACTGGTATAGGATGTGGTCTACTGTGAGGGTTTCAGTGGGGCAGTGGCTGCAGTACGGTTGATCGGTTTTTCTTATTAGGTGTTCGTGTGTTATCTTTGTGTGACCTGACCTTAGTCGAGACAATATGGATTTTTCTTTCCTATTTAAATTGCAGGTAGGAATTGGTTCGTAGAAGTTTTGTATTATATCATGTATTTTTGTTCTTTTTGTTGTGGTCCACATTCTGTTCCATTCTTCTTTTGTAGTTTTTTTCATATGGTTTATGAGGTCTTGATACGGTATTGGAACGGTAGTTTCGGTTGGTGATAGGATTGTTGCTTCTTTTGCTGCCGCGTCTGCTTCCTCGTTTCCCGGTATGCCTTGATGTGAGGGAATCCAAATAATATTTATATCGGTGTTGTAATTTTTGTCTAATTCTGTGTATGCTTCTTGTATTTTTGTTATGATCTCATGGCTATTGTTGCTGTTTGAGGTTTCTAGGGCTTTCATCACGCTCATCGAGTCCGAAAAAATGGCAACGTTTTTAAGGTTGTTGATGCTGGCATGTTTCAGGGTTTCAAGTATTGCATATGCCTCAGCGGTAAAGATTGAAACCAATTTGGGGAGACTTTGTTTTATAGTCATATTTTCGGTGACGATGCTGAATCCTGCTCCTGAATCAGATTTGGAAGCGTCGGTGTAGATTTGGTTACAGTGGGAGAAGTTGTTTTTTAGATTTAGGAATTTGGCTTTATGTGTTGTTCGGTCTATTTGATTTTTTGGCAGGTCCGCTAGGCTCAAGTTAATGGGTGGTGTCTTAATAGTCCAAGGAGCTATTTTACTTTGTTTGCGTTCAATGGTAGGAGCCCATTCGATGGGAGGTTTCAAGCAAAATAGATTTTCAATAAACACTATTGGAATCCCTTTAAGTGAATCGATGGAATTAGTGGTGAATATAGATCGAAATTTTAGGAGCCTTCCTAAATTCTGGAATTTGCGGAGAGAAAATTATAACAAAATGGAATGTACTTTTAATAGGAAATCCCGGTTACGAAGCAATATTCAAAATCAGTGAAATTTTACGAGGTCAGATTGTTAAAGAACCTAAAACAATTAAAGCATGCTACTTCAGCGAATTCAAGTATGCTCCAATCACATCTTGTGATGTTGAGCGTTCGTTCTCAGCCTATAAATTGACTTTAAACGATAAACGTTATCAACTAACCCTTGACAATATTGGAAAAATACTCGTAACATATTGTAATTTAAATTATAACTGATTATTATTATGGTTAAATAATAAAATTATTTGAACATATTTTCAGTATATTTTGGCATATTATTTGACATATGTCACTTACATATTTTGACATATCTTATTGACATAAACAACCGCAGTCTACTAATTAGATTAGCAAAAGTCAAAGTCGAGCAAAGCTCCAGATCAGTAAAAAGTGTCTCGATCTCGAATTTTTTCGAGGGGAATTCAAAGTAAATTTAGCGTACGAAAGAGTTGATTAATCGTTCGCTGGCGAACAAGCTTAAATCAATAACAAATTTCACAATCGGTTACGGAAGAAAAAGGAACTCGAAACGGTAATGGCGAAAATGATAATTGGCCACGGAACGGAATCGGCTCGATATTACAAGCAATTAACATTCTCATTGCCAGAGGGATTACGCTCGTCGTTTTGCAACGCAGATGCACTTTTATAAATCATAACGTAATTTTCGGGGGTCTGTTTCGAGAGTTCCAATTTATCTTCCTTGGCGATACCGTGAATTATGAACCAGTAAAACGCGACTACGCGGCGAGGGACGTACCGTAATACGGATATTTTAAGTTACGGCGCAAAGTTAATTCCTCGCCGGGACGGATGGATCGGATGTAACCATTAATTCCGTAATCGAGTTATAACTGTACTGCCACTGCCACCGACGTGAAAGCGAACACCGCGAAAAGAAAGTCTCGTTCGTTTAAAACGACGCGTACATATTTCCTTCGACAAACATTCAATTACCGGGGAATTTTAATTTTCAATTAAACGATATTGCGGCGGCACCGTTCGAAATTCGTTTCCGATACTCTTCTTAAACGTTGTGCGTTCTTCGTATCGAAACGTCGAACCTTGAATGAGACATTTAAATATTGCTCTTATATTTTTTTTTTTCTATACACTCTTCTTTTTGTTTTCTACTATTTGAAGAAGCTAGAATCTAAACGTTGTATATCTTCGGATTGGAAAGTAATTTTAGAGCCGTACGCGCATTCCCGCGCAAAGATTTCGAGTTCGACGCGTCGTTAATCGATCCGTACCGCGACGAGAGTAAACGAAAATCCGTGTAACCCTTTTTAAATGCGGCTGAAATCGATTCATTCCGGCGAAACTTTCTCTACGGGTCGGTCCGCCAGCAGCGATTAATTTTTGCTCGCGAAATGGAACGTGCACTCGAATCCGGGCGTACAGAGAATACAGAAATCGAACAAAAGGGGCTCGACGAACAGGAATTTCGACTTTCGCGAGTAATGATCCCGACATAAATTAACCGAAACGAAAAACGGGGGACCTTCGACGAAAGAAAAGGACTCAGGGATTCCGCGAAACGGGGCAAACGACCGTGGATCGAAGTAATGAGACTTTTGGCGAGGACAACGTTCCAACCGAACATGCTTAAGTCCGATTTTCGACGCGTCTCCATTTTGTCTCGAATCCATCGATACCTAGCGCTCCTAATTTCTTGAGAAACACATTAATGAAATATTTATTTCTGTTTGTTTAAACAAACTTCCTTGCTTGTACAAAGACGGAATACCATATATTTAATATATTATACGTTTGTTAGGTTTACAAATTCGGTACCTTATTATACAGGGTATTCGGCCAACCCTGGGGAACAATTTTAATGGGAAATTCTAGAGGTCAAAATAAGATGGAAATCAAGGATATCAATTTTTTTATTGAGGCTTCGTTAAAAAGTTATAGAAATATTTCCGGCCACACAGTATATTTTCGGTAAAGAATTTTTTTCTCGAAAGTACGTAGGATTTCGGGGGTATGTGTATTCACCCAAAATAATTGTAATTGACCCCCGCAACCAAAAATAATTTTTCTAGAATGATTTGAAACTTTTCAATATCGCCGAAAAATTTAGGCACCTACTCGAATTTTTTTCTCGAAAGTGCGTAGGATTTCGGTGGTATGTCTATTCACCAAAAATGATTGTAATTGACCCCCACATACAAAAATAATTTTTCCAGAACGATTCAAAATTTTTTTTGTGGCCAAAAAATTTACCCTCTGTCAATTTTTCTCTAAAGTTCGTTTTTGATTTTTAATTCTTTTGTTTGGCGCCCTATAGAAAAGTTGCCTAATACTTTCTTATTGGTGCCCATGAGCTGTACTTTAGAAAAAAGTTTAATTGAAATATATTCACTAATGTAGGAGTTATGGTCGTTTGAAGATTGGACCATTTTTGTGGGTTTTTTTATACTTTATGAGTTTAAGGAACAACTTCTCGAAATTTCTTAGAATCTTTACATATTCTACACCAAAATATGCGTTGTTTGCATTTCGAAACATTAAAATCCTCCAATCCTTTCAAGAATTATGATATTTTGAAGATATGAACGTCGGGGAATCATTTCGCCTTACATTACATTTTCGGTAAGGAAGTTTTTTTCTCGAAACTGCGTAAGATTTCGGGGTATGCCTATTCACCAAAAATGCTTGTAATTGACCCCTGTAACTAAATATAATTTTTTTAGTATGATTTGAAATTTTTTAATTTCGTCTAAAAATTTCAGTACCTATTCGAATTTTTTTCTCGAAAGTGGATAAGATTTCAGAGGTATGTGTATTCACCAAAAATGATTGTAATTGAGCCTCGCAACTAAAAATGATTTTTTCAGAATGATTAAAAATTTTTTGATTTAATTTTTTAATAACTTTTTAACGAAGCCTCAATCAACAAATTGATATTCTTGATGAAGAGTATGTAAAATTCCAAACCTATTTGAAAAGTTGTTCCTTAACCCTGTAAAGTGCGAAAAACCCCATAAAAGTGGTCCAATTTTCAAACGATCATAACTCCTACAATAGTTAATACATTTCAATGAAATTTTGGTAGGAAGTATAGCTTATGGATACCTACAAAAAATTACTGAACAACTTTTTCGTAGCGCGTCAGACAAATTTATGAAAAATGGAAAACGAATTTTCAAGAAAAATCGGTGTTGAAATTTTTCGGCGAAAAGAAAAAATTCAAATCGTTCTAAATAAATTATTTTCGGTTGTGGAGGTCAATTACAATCATTCAGTCATACAAAGGTGGACAAATTTTTCGAAGAAATTACAAACTTTCAAATCGTTCTAAAAAAATTATTTTTGGTTGCAGAGGTCAGTTACAATTATTTTTAGTCAATACACATTGTCCCGAAATCCTACGTATTTTCGAGAGAAAAAATTCTTTACCGAAAATATATTGTGTGGCAGGAAATGTTTCTATAACTTTTTAACGAAGCCTCAATCAACAAATTAGTATCCTTGATTTTCGTCTTATTTTGGCCTCTAGAATCTCCCATTAAAATTTTTCCCAGGGGTGGCCGGATACCCGGTATACCTATTATGAAAAACTAATTTATATTTTGTTGCTAAAAATATTATTTGCAAACACTAATACTAGTAAAAAATAGACTATATCTTTCTAGGCAAACACGCATAAATTGTTTTTAAATTGTCTCTTTTCCCCATTGTCGACAACTATAAAAAATTGTGCATATAAAAACTTGCAAATGCAGTTAAAGGCGCCCAGCCTACTATTATATTTCATCGTTATCTTTCGTTTCGTGTACCGTTGAATAATAAACAATTATTCACTTTGAGTGGTGTTGCCGCCACGTGAAGGGTTTCCGCTACACTCGACAATGAACAGTGCCGTTTTTGAGGAAGTCACAATTTTTCACGGACAGCATGCAATTTCCAAAGGACTAGGTCTGGCCGGATGCCGGTTTCAGATTTCTCTGGAAACGGTCCCCGGTTAGACCACCCTCAACGGCAATTGATGTATCGCAGACCCTCACGTGCTTGCCATCAGGACCAGGACAGTCACTACAAAGTAGGGTAATAAATTAACCCAGGGATTGTGCAACGTCCTGCAGACCTTGATTTGCAAGATGAACAAACTAGGCTGTGGGCGTTGCATAATCCAAAACCTAAACAAATTCCGGATTGGGCAGGACAAGGCCCAACCCGAACATCGGCGCCTCCAAGGAGGCACTAAGAGGGAGACATGATGTCTTCCTCGAGGACGGCATCTTGGACGCCAACCAGACCAATCTTGGTTTCTGAAGGCACTTGGACGCCAACGGGAACATCTTGGTTTCTGAAGGCATTTGGACGCCTGACCAGAACTTGGACTTTGCTAGACCATATTTCTGGTTATTAATTTTAAGAAGTTATTGTGATCGTAGATAAAATAAATTGATCTACTACATAATCTAACTCCTCGAACAAGTACGGAGTTAACAAGTGGTATTCGACACGCGGTATAAAATTGACATGGCTTTTATCGCCGTGCAGGGAAACGTCGCGTCGATTCAATTAACGTCCATGAATTATGACTCGGACGCGCGACGAACGACACGCATTCGCTATGTTTACATTGTCACATATATTTCCCACGCCAAGAGTAAGCACGATTCAATAAATTACAATAAATTCGTGACAGGAAAATGTCGTGTTACGTAAAAGTTAATGTCCGCGAAAACAAATGCTTCACCGCATCGAAGAATATTAAATATTTCCACTCAACAAATAGAATAAATAAATGTTGTGTAATTTTCCTTAATAAATTTTATCGATTACAGTTTATTCCGTTGCTACGTAGCAGATGCTTGTCGAGAAAATTTATCTCTCAGCATGTTATATGCCAGGGAAAATAATTTATTTCACTGCTCGAAGTAACGTCCACGTTTATTAACGAGAATAAGTTCGATCATTACGTTAGAAAAATAAGCTAACGAGAATAAGTTCGATCATTACGTTAGAACAAAAAGCTAACGATAATCGTACGATGTTTTCGAGGTCAATTTTGTACGTCAATATTGTGTAACTATAGTCGATACAATTGTTCGTGCAATAATTGCAAAGTATGTGGTGTTGTCGCACAATTGGAGCTAGAAAAATTCACAGACCTGTTTCAAATATTTTAAATAATAAGTTTTTTTACGATTCAGAATGAAATTGTATTTCAAACGAGGGTCAAAATTTTAGGGAATATTTTTATTTTTGAAATTCATAATATAGAATAAAAAATTTTGACAATAATTCATTGGTCAACTTATATATCAAATATGTTGAAACGTGCGAAGTAAGTTTGTGAAGTATGGAAATGTTGGATGTAAAAGATATATGAGTCATGGTTTTAGTTTTTACGACTAGCTTTTTTTTATACAGTAATCTGTTGATATATAAAAGTCTCGAGCATTGCATATAAGGAAGAGAAATCAACGTTTTTCTGTTTTGCTAACAATGTCGAACGCAGAAAAGAAGAGAAGACGTTCGAGGTAGCCAAGATCAAAGGTCATGGTTATACAATTATAAAATTTCAATATATATTTTAATAATAAATTTTAATAATAAACAATGCTAACCCACGAATCTAAATTTTACTATTTCGTATTCCTGTATAAGTTATCTAAATTGTAGTCCTAGTTAAAAGTCAGCCGTTTGTACGTTTAGGTTTATTGTACCCCCTTGTATATATATTTATAATTGTTTTCTTGGAACAATAAATGTTCGTTAGCATGGCGTGAGTGAGGAGGTGTTTGCCTGCAAGTACAAGCTTCTTTTGCTCTGCGCGTTCTAACCCTGCCAGAACAAATCTTTTTTTTATTTTTTCAATCATATTTTAATCGTACACTAAATGTGACATTATATTTTTGTCTGACCTTCGAGTATTTTTTTTTTTAAGTTGAATTTAACCAATTACATTTAACATATGTTATTTTCAATGTACGAAATACATGAATCTGGGTGGTACTTTTCGTAAAAACAGTCAAAACATAAAAATTTCAAGCACCACGTACATCTAATGAAAGTTCTGTTTTCACAGAAATTACAAAATTTTGTATTCATCTCTGATGGAAAGGCCGCTTCATTTACATTGATAAAATGTGAACGATTTTCGGATAGTCGTACCTTGTACCTCGTACTTTTTACCTTATACTTCAGGTAAAAAGGGATATAACTGGGTAAAACCGTTTTATGACATTACCTGATAACTCATGTGACTGTTCTAAAATGAAACGCATTGTTTTGTACCTTTAAAAATATTCGACTATGTCCTTTTAAAATTTAAAATCCAACCCATATACTTTGCTTATGTGCACATACATAGGTCAGAAAATAAATATGCCTGGGCAGTCGAGAATCTCGACTCGCGATTTCAAATCATATGCCGTTGACGGAAGGTCGGATTTCAATTGTTAAGAGCGAAAAGGCAACTGTGAACCCTTCTCTCTCGACTCCCACGAAGCGGTTCGAAATTACTTCGGGCAGCTTCGGAGAATCGGTAAAGAGAGCATGCAAAAGGCGAGGGGCACTGACTAAAGGTCATCTTGCAAATCATCTAGTCATGTCCGCGTTATCTTGCAAATCACATAGTTGCGATAGGACATTACTGCGAGACGCATCGTTTTCTTATTGTGCGTAGAATCTATTAGTATCGAACCTTTAGCAAGTAAAAACAGGTAAAGGTTCACGATAAAGGATAAAGCAAACCTTTTGTAGAGTAAATTGTTACCAAGTTGGGAAAGTGCAGTAATGTACAAGCCAATTGTTACTCTAAAACAAGGAAAAGTACGGGGCATTTCCGCCAAAAGTGTGTTAGGGTCTTCTTACGTCGTTTTTTACGAAATACCATTCGCTGCACCTCCCATCGGAGAACTCAGGTTCAAGGTAATAGACATATTAATTACTCCCACTAGATCAATGGTTCTTAACCCTTTTTCCCTTTTTGCAATTTAAGGGGCTATTCTACCTTGTAGGGACGAAAAATACATGTTTCTTTGTGATTTTTTTGCGGGCTACTAAAGAGCGAATAATTTCGGGTTTTGTAGATACATTTATTATATATTTACGAATTATTGCAACGGATAAAATCTATTGATTACGCTGTTTTTGTTGATCAACAAACAACAGTTTTTACGAACGGTGTCCGACTGCGTATGTGATATCTTGCGATAAGTTATCCGAAATCCAAAAACCAACGATATTCTTAATATAGATGAGTGTGGTTATAGCATGAACTTGGATTTTTTTAAAAAAACAAAAAATGGCAAAATGGCAGCTATTTTACGAAAAAATACTGAATATTTTCATATATTCGGTTGCTTTTTTGTTAATAAAAGAAAAAGTATTGCATATATTGCAGTTATCTTAATTCATGCGATAGAGAGACCAGTTCTAAAGATACTGTATAAATTTGATGTTGATATCTTGAATAGTTTTTTTGTTATTACATACGCAGTACCGAAAAATGTAGTTTCGAGAAAAACAGCTTTAAAGTTTCGTGTCCAATTGTTATACCTGCGCGAGATACATTTCAGCAGACTATAACTTCGTTACTTTTTCAAATTTCAATGTAATATTTGGTAGATATATTTTCGAGACTATACATATACTAAAAGACAATGAAAAAAAAAAATTCGATTTTTTTAATCCCACAGAGTAGAAAGGCCCCTTAATTGGAGCTCGTGGGACCTTTTTTACACAACGTTCCTCGATATAACGTTCTTAACAATATTTTTAACGCAGTTTTATGCGTGTCTAGTTCAACTAAGAAGTCTTTTCTTTCATTTGGATTACTTTGAAAATAATTTCAAGTTAATATTTTAAGAGGTATCTTTTCTTTTAGACTTTTTAAATAAAAGTCGTCTGGATTTCAGATGGACAATACAATAATCTATTTTTTTAATACTTCTCGTTTTAATAAAATGCCCAATATTTCTCTTTCAATTTCGATAAAGATTTTACAAATCATTTAATATCGTCAAGTTATGCGACTCAGGCTCTAGTATAAGAAGTTAAGAGTTAGGTAATGGAATGATCTCCGATCTAAAGAAGATGATCGAAAATAGGATCCAGTAGCGCCTGCCTCGTGGACGGGTATTAGAAACTGTACTGTCTGTACCGGAAAGATCTGTGCCCAGCCAGAGGATTATCCACCGTATAATATTATCGGAAACGAGGACTGCCTTTACCTCAATGTCTACGTCAATTCTCTCAACCAGTCGAAGCCAGTCATGTTCTGGATCCATGGCGGTGCATTCACTATAGGCACTGGCAGTTACAAATTCACAAGACCAGATTACCTACTCGCGAAAGACGTCGTAGTCGTAGCTCCAAACTATAGATTGGGCGCATTTGGTTAGTTTCAGAACATAAGTTTTTCCAAATGTATCATCAAGATTTAATTTATATCGTTGCACAAAGCTCCATCGTCTTCGTTTCGCAATATTAGCGATGAATGGTGGCATTCAAACATATTTTGTAGGTTTCTTAAATCTGGGACATCGAGTTGCACCCGGAAATCAGGGTATGAAAGATCTAATCAAAGCCTTGCAGTGGGTTAAGGAGAATATTCGCAATTTTGGAGGAGATCCTGATAATGTCACGCTTATTGGCCACAGCGCTGGAGGAGTAATAGCTCATGCTCTAACTATTTCTCCGGCTGCTCGAGGTATAATGATTCTCCCTCGCTATTGGGATTTAAAATCAGTCAGCATTTAGGGTTGATGGAACGCTTGACTTTAAAAATCTATCGAAACCAGAGCAATGTGTTATTTTTAATTATTTTTAAATACAGACTCATTTAAAATCGAACCAATTTTACAAAAAGAAAATAGACAATCTTACTAAGAGAATTTAAACTTCTGTGCAAAATAGTGTAAAATAGTCTAGTCGCTAATAATAATTAAGCAGTCGATGTGACTTTAAAACCGAATGAAAAAACAACTTTTTTAAATCGTTCATTCTTATCAGGACTGTTTCACAAGGCGATCTTCCAAAGTGGATTTTTAACGTGTAGTTGGAGCACCATTCACAAGCGACCAGATTGCGGTTTTAAGCTCGCGTTGATCCTCGGGATAAAGTCGACCGATCCAGAGGAAATCGTCAGATCGTTGCGCAAGCTGCCAAATAAAGATATCGTCAAGGCTTATCCTTTCATTCTCACGGAACAGGCAAAACGTTTTCCCGTCACTGTGTCTCGCGACAATCGTGCAATTCTTCGCACATACTAAACATAAATTCTTTTATCGATTTGTAGGAGAAGAACAGGTACGTTCTACCCTTTGGATTGAATTACGACAAAGTAGCTGAGTATTCTGTTCTACCGTATCCGATCGAACAATTATGCGCGAACGACGTTGACATTCCTGTTTTGGGCGGTTACACGACGTACGAAGGCAACATATTTCACAACGGTAACTGTTATTTCTAGCAACCTTCGACACCATTTCCACCAAAGTTAAAATTTTCATTTATTTTCTAACTTTAATGCTGTTAAATTTTACTTCGCCATTTAGACAGTGTATAAATAAGTACCGAAAATGCATCCGTATATATGTAAGTCAGAGACGAGTTGAAAATTTCATTTTTATTTAATATATTTCGATAAGATCTATTTAAAAAGTGAAAACATATTTTTTAAGATTACTTTGATAATTATTTGCCATTAGAATTTGGAAAATTTAGCAACACCGCCTTCAGTTTCTTAGTGAGAGAGAATCTTTGAGAAAAGTCTACTTAGAGCCGTGAAAATAGAGTACGACTTTTTTTCACCAAGTTACAACAGTCAAAAAATGAAGTGTCAGTCGCATTTATGTGAAAATACCTTGTTTCAGACTCGAGCGTGGAAACTTTTAAAAGATACAATTATTATCTGCCAGAGAACGTGAAAGTCTTAAGTGAATTGATACAGTTACAACCCGAGAGCGCAGAGAAATTATTAAAGGCTGTTAAGGATCAGTATTTCGGTGGACAATCGGTCAGCTTAGATAAAATGGACGCGTTCCTAAATTTCTTGACAGACGTTTATTTTGCCATTCCTTTGGAGTTGTATATTAATGATCGCGCGAAAAGGACGTCCGCGCCTAATTACGTTTATAGGTTTTCGTACTTGGGGAAGGAAACTACGTACACGGATATTCGTACGAAGCGTGTTGTCAATGGTACGCGTAAATTATTTGAATTAATGTATTATGCTTCGTTTCTAATTAAGGAAAATTCAAAAACCTATTACTGAGAAATGTAGAAATAGTTAATGTCGAAAATGTATAGGATGGAATTATTAAAGAAACGTCAATACGTAGACGTTGATGATTTTCAAAAAATCGTCGTGCAATATAATTGATATTTTACAAAATATTTATTCTCGATTAGAGAGACTTACAATTACTTTTATTTTGTTGTGTTTGTGACCTTAAAATCGTCTGATTCTGCACTGCTTCCCTATTTGAATAATCAACAACAGTAGAAAGGTTTTGCATTTTTCTTAAGTAAGAGTGATTATTGTTTAAAAATAATTTTAGGGGCGTCCCACATGGACGAATTGGCATACTTGTTTTACTCGCCTCTTTGTAAGGCTGAAAACCCTGAGCCACCCGCAAATGGCACGAAAGACAGACTTATGATGGAACGTTTGACTACGATGTGGACCAATTTTGCTAGAACAGGGTAAGTCAAAGTTTCAAAACTTCTTTCTAATTTTTTAGAAAACGGATATTTTTATTGTAATTCATATACAACGTATGGTTTGGTTTTAACATAGAAATCCCACACCGTGCCAAGATAATAATTTAATCAAGACCATTTGGGAGCCTACGACGAAGGACAAGTTTTGTTATTTAAATATTGACGAAGAATTTGAATTGGTAACCACAAAATTGAATTCATTTGACTTCAGTAGAATATTCTAAACTAGTTTAAAATAATTATGATTAATTATGTGACGATCTTGTCATATTATAGTATAATGACGAATTTTGGGTTAATATGCTATGGGAAAATCAGTAAATAAATTAAAATTGTCTGTTCTAGTAGCGTAGTAGTATAATTACTCCGTCACATATTGTGTGTCATTGATATTAATCAACGATCGTGCACATAAATGTTTTTAATACCGTATGATAAAAAACAGTTGCATAAAGAATTCGAAGAACAGCCACACGAAAAGATAATAACAGTTTGACGTATGTAGCGACAATTTTCCTTATCTGCCCTATAAGTTTTGATAACAAAAAGTATGTTAATACGATACTTATTATCTATTTTCGAACTTCGTCTCGTCTGTTCAAGCATTGAATAATTTTTTGCGATAAAATATATAATAGAACCGCGGTAGAAATAGCGTCGAATGTAAAAGCATAATTACGAAAAGTTCTTAGGAATACAAAAAGGTTTAAAGACCAGAAGCTTTGGGGAAAATGGTGATCTATAGTTACCAAATCGTATGGCTGCGTCGAATGCATCGTCGTTGGAGAGAGGTTCTCGTGAAATCGGGTCGACGATCGGTTGAAAAAGGCAATGGTGGCCCCTCGAAAGAAAGGCAAGCGAAATCACCGCGCTAATTTAGACGATCGTTCGCCGGTTTATCCGAAACGGTTGCTAAATCGGTCGCCATTACTCTCCGCACACGGTCCACTTAACCTTTTGCATCCGATCGACCGATTACCGAGCAACCAGATAATGATCAATGATCGAACGACTCGTACTTGATAAGTTTATTCCAGACTGGCTGTCGCCGGACAGGGTGGGTCAGCCGATCAAGGAACTCACGATCCTGCCGATCTACGGTGCATTTATCGCGTTTAAAAAATCTTTATTTTGACCTTTGGAATCGTTAGGAGCGTACGTAATTTTTTGTACGCCTAATACAAAGCTCCAACCGCAAATAAAAAAATCGTTATTCAAATGTAGCGTAGCTTGCATTCGAGAAGCTATTTAAAGTATTCTTCTCCCGAAAATTTGCATTTCTGTTTATTGTATGGGGGCCATTTTTAGTGTCGCGCGAATATAACGTATCGAAGGCCTTTGGATTTCTCACTGACCTCTCCGAATTACAGCTCGATTATCGTGGACGTATTCGTAATTACGCATACGACATAGATTAGGCGCCAGCAAAAACATGAAAAACGAACTAAACGCACAGTTTTGCCAAACATAGTCTCCGATCTCTTGTATCATTATCGTTGCACGCAAATGGCTTTTGACCCTGATTATCTACGGTCGAGTTGCACAAAAATACGCCGAATTAACCTAAAATAATTACCAGAGCTTAGGAATGCGATCAAAGTCTGCAAATATCCTGTTCTCTCCAATTTTTGGGCGAATTTAAATATTACGTAACGAAGTATAATTGTATCAAAGTTGTTATTTTTGTATCATTCGATCCAAGATAGGAAAGGTTGATTCTTAGTCAAGAAGCGTTACTTTCCCCGGATATATAAGATCAAGGAAACAGTTTAATGAACCGTACTCTATTTTATTTCATAAACACGAGGTTTCAAAATCATCATGAACAGTGCCTTCTAGGTAAATTTTATACTTCGTAGACAGTATTTGTAACAATATTTATATATTCTTAGACCTATAATTAGATTATTCCGAATATTAAACACTGACGATTAAAGTCTCCTGGTCGTTGAAAAGCGATTAATTTTCCTAGAAATGTATTTCTTACTATTTACCTTTTGAAATCAATATTTATACTAATTAGTTCTTGATGATAAGATACAACTGAAAAATACTAATTGTTCATCAGTCGATCGAATCGTATTATCAAACGCCACGGATAAACGTGGACTTTACAACGTTTCCAATGGTTTGAAATAATTGGCGATCATTTTTTTCCGTGACTGTACGTGTGTGAGTTTGATTATCACGAGAATACGAGGCCAATAACGACGCAGTAATTTAGTATTTTTTTTGTCTCTGAGTATCGGATAATCGTGCTTAATGCCGATTTAAAACTCTCGGAGTATCGTTTATCGCCATCGTCTTTGCTAACCATCCGATACCAAGCAATTTTTATTTCTTGGCGCCGTTCGTTCATTAATACAGCGACTTGTTTATTGCAAAAGGAAAGTCGAAAACGAATTTAAATAAATTACGATGCCGCGAAACGAGAGGAATCTTTTAATTTCATTCCTTCTGTTATTCAACATGCTTTTTCTCTCTGAAACTTGAATCGTGATGGCTTTCAATAAACATTTCTCATTCGTTCGTGAACTTACGTTTCGTACATTGGAAACTATTAACGAATCTTTTAAACAAATTTACAGCTAGTTTAAAAGTTGAAGCAATCTTTTAATTAAATACAAACGTATATCAAATATTGCTTGTAGCAGAAGAAAACAATAAAAGTTAATAAAGAAATTAAAATTGTTATACTTTGAATACAAAAGTGGGTCGAAATTATAATTTTAATTTGCCTGAGTAAGAGATTAGGTGGATATTGCGAAATCTTCCCAACAATAGTTGTTGCAATTTCTTGCATCGGATAGCAATCAACAATTACGGTAACGGCGATCTATCTAGATCCGAGTCTACCTTTTCGATCGATATTGGACGCTATTTCGATCCAGCCAGGATTGAAATAGAAGATAAACGACGTTCTTTGGAACTGTCGAACAATCCAGAGAAAATTGCAGTTCTCGGCCTCGTGACCGATTATATATTTGGTAAGCAAATTATCGGCCTGCCGAAACGATAGTGATTGATATGGCGTTGCTCCATTTAAATTTCGCTGTCGACTGGGTCCCATCGTCGGCAAGAAATTCACTGTTATTATTTCAAGCAAACTGTTATCTTATCTCCCAAAGCACATTTGGTCATTCAATTTTGTATTCGAGTCTTTTTTGGCAGATTCCAGTATGAATTCTATTATATCAATTGTGATTATCGATTTATCGTTAAATTAAAAATGATATAGGATGGAGCTCGAAATAAAATTTCAGTTTTTAGGTGTTACCTGTTGTTTCAAGGTACGTAAAAATTCTCTGATTATGGGACCAACCCACGTCATGTCAGACACTGGATTGGACTTCTGTATTTTTAACTTATTAAAAACAATAATCTGTGCTCAGATGCCATTCATTTAGGGATCACTCGTATTTAACTCCACCACATTTTCTATAGTTCTAGTTTGTCTTTGGATGTAATATACATTATTGTTAGTTTAACCTCTTAACACTCATATTTTTCTGGTTAAACAAGTCAGTTTTCTTTATTGGATTTGTTTCTAAGCTATATGAAAGTATGGTTTTTATTAATTACAATGTTGTATCTAACGTATAATTTGAAGGAAAACAAATATTGCCGTCCCTTAAACCGTTAGATAAAAGAAATATCGGGCATGAACGTTAAGGGGTTAAGAATTCACTTCATCGAGAAGTAAAATCTGCAAAATGTTGAAAAAATTTCAGAAATAAAATTAGCAGTTCATAGGTTAATGAAGATATAAGGAAAGAATCTATTTATGGATCGAACGATGATTCGTGCAGTTTACGGTCTAAGAACTCATTTGTTCTTAGGTAAACTTAAATTCTCTCGACTACTGGACCCCAATCTAGCCCCTATTATGTTAGATAATTAACAAACTTATAAAAGACAATAATCAAAGTTTCAGTCAGAACAAATATTATCGAGTTTAATTTTGCCTTTGCATGTAACACGAGAAATTGGGATTTAAAGCAACACTAATAGAAAAACGATGAATCTATTTACGAAGTATCGTGCACGTGCGAATAATTGAATGGAAAGACGCCGAGGAAAACATTCTGTGCGTTGTCGGTTAAAAAGTTTTTCACGCGATGGTGAGACGTTGAGTAATCAGTCTGGATCGAAGGAAATGATCGTGACCAGGGGAGAGCCAATAGAACTTTATCAACGAAATAAGACTGGCTGGAGGTTATTTCGTAGCACCGTCGCGTCGGTGAGCCTGTCTTCGATTAATCTTGTTTTCCAACGCTTGGGGGAGATAATCGATTCGACCTACTAAGGAAGATAGGTACGTACACGGTTTCTTTCCTCGAGAGATAGCCGTTGGACCCGGTGATTTGGTTTCTAGGCTCTGGGGTTTACCGATCTGCTCATTAACCGCGCCGATTAATCGTCGAGCGTTCTACGTGAGAGGTCGCGACGCTGAAACTACACCCGCCTCGTCGATAAATCCTCTCCAATTTCCGAACATCGCGTCCTGGAACGAATTCAACTCTTCGGAACCCCCATTTATTCCAACGCTCCATTCGCTGGCACAGAATAAATCTGCATTATTGGAATAATTATGAATAGTCACATTTCGTGTAGCACGAGAAAACAATACAAATAATTTGATCAAATCATTAAAATAATTCCAAAAGAAAGTAGTTACAACATTGATTATATTTTTATTGATATGAACAAAAAAAATTTTCAAATTTGAATATCTCGGAACAGGGTTTTAGCTTCTTTCGAACTCAATTATATTTAAATAGAAGTCGACATTAATTCCACACTGAATTTAAACAAATTTTTAGCAAAAAAGTATTTGCGAAGTTAATTTCTAAAAAGGCTGCATTCGTTCGAATATCGATATCGTTTCGTTTGTCGTCTAGATTAAATCGAATCGAATAATTGCATTAGCACGCTCGCGCAAAGAAATAAGCGGAATTGTACGTAATGGAAGCGGAACACAGACAACCGCAGCGAACTTTCACCGGTTTTCAATCAAGTCCGCCGATCGAGGAGATCTATCGATCGGTAGATCGAACGCGGGACAATCTTCTTTCGTCGAACGCTCGTTCGCCTATGCGTCATGCGATCCGCGAATCGAGGGAGGCAAGAGAGAAAGTAAATCAATCGACATTAATGTTATTTACATACGTTATTACGCAATCCAGAGGGGAAGTGATTTTCCTGCTTCGAGAACCCTAATCATTGCCGTCGTGTTTACATAATTTTCGGTTCACATATTTTGAAAGCAAAGCTCAGGAAAGAATTAATATTTATTTCCTTTCAAAATATTATGTATTTTTGTAATGCTTTCACATTGTAATAGCCATTAGAGTAAAATAAATATTTCGATTCAGTGTCCTGAACAATCATATTTTCTTGTTCAGATGTTAACAAAATTTGATACTTAGTACGTTTTCAGAAACTGGAAACTATCGCTTCGTAAGAAAGATACACTCATACTTTTTCGAATAAAGAAGTACGTAAACGAAACTGTGAGTTACTGTATAATCGCGTAAATCGTACGATAATTTATGTAAATAAATTTTGTGAACAATTGGAGTTCACTTCGCAATGTCATCCTATTAAAACAAATTAATACTGCATCATTTTGAAACTTCGTCTTTCTTAAATCTATACAAATAGGAATCGATTTGTTGTATAAAGAATTATTTTTGTTTAATTGTTAGGTATTTATGTAAATAAGTTTTGTGAACAATTGGATTTCCCTTCGCCATGTCATCCTATTAAAACAAATTAATACTGCATCATTTTGAAACTTCGTCTTTTTTAAATCTACACAAATAGGAATCGATTTGTTGTATAAAGAATTATTTTTGTTTAATTCTTAGGTATTTATGTAAATAAGTTTTGTGAACAATTGTATTTCCCTTCGCCGTGTCACCTTTTAAAACAAATTAATTCTGCACCATCTTGTAATTTTCGTCCTTTTTAAATCTATATAAATCAATCCGTTGAATAAAGAATTATTTTTGTTTAATTGTTAGGTATAAAAGATGGTTTCACGGAGAATGACACGCATTCGCAATCGTTGTTTCGCGTCGAGGCTATCGGCGTCGAATTTATCAACCCTAAAAACGTCGAGTCGTTTTCGTTGTTCGTGAATGCTTATCGGTCCATTAGGCTCGGCGATTCGCGCGGGCTTGGCTTATTAATCTTGGCGCGCCGTCGATTAATTAACGACGCGATGAAAACGTCTTGTTGTCGCGAGAACGGAAGCAAATTGGCGAAGGAGTGAAATCAACCGTTTCGTGGAAATCGTGCGTCCGATCAGGATGCAGAGCCGATTTCTCAAACGATGCACAACCGTAGTGAGTCACAACGGGGCGTGCTGCACGTGGAAAAAAGTTTCTATTACCTACATACCTATTTGTCGTGGAATGTGACGGGAATGTTTAATTCGAGCGGTGGCCCGCCGCTTCGTTAAAACTGTAACGATGCTAATCGTATTTATGCGCGACCGAGCATCGTTTCAGCCTCGAATTCATTCCTGATCGAAACACACGCGAAATATTAAACGCTTCTGGATCGATTCAAAAATATCCCAACGGTTTCTATTTAATTCTATCGAAATTCTAAGTAAAAACAAATAATATTTTCTAAAAAAAGTATGAAAGATCTTTAAAAGTAAATAACGGAACAAACAATTTCAAAATGTGTTTATATGAAATTTATAAATTTTAATAATGAAACGGTTATATTGGTAAATTGATGGGATCGTTTATAAGATATTTATTATATATTCGCACAAATTTTGTGCAAACATCGCATTAATATAAA